CCTGCAGGGGGGTTGGGCTGGGTGACCTCTAGGGGTCCCTTCCCCCCCAAAACATTCTATGATTCTATGATTCCCCACCGACACATATGCCCGTCTCAGACTAAGCCCACGAAACTAATCTATTTATGTGCCAGCAGCAGCCACAGCAGGCCAGCCCGGTCCTGCCCACGTCCCTGCTAACGCAGGCCCGCGATGAGGCTGTGCACAAATAACCACGGGCAGGAGCCCGTGCTCCGGCAGCAGAATCAGTCTGGCAGCAAAGAGCCCAGCTGGAGCACCATCACCCAGGCAGCCCTTACCCAAGGAAACCCGCAAGAGGCATTTAGGAGCCCCGACCTGGGATCCGTTGCAAACTTGGCAGCTGAAGACCGGGATTAGACAATACAAATAACCCCAGGAAAATCACGGATACACTTGATTTGAGCTCTTACCGTCTCTATATGAGTCGCCATGACTTTGCAGGACAACTCCAGCGTAAGTCACACCCCCGGGAGGATTTCTGGCTGACAGCACGTAAGACGGGAAGGTCACAGTTTGACAAGTGCTTCTTTCAGAAGCAGCAATCGCTTCACCAATCCTTCCTCCCATCCCCATCCCTGATGTTTTCCCTGCTTTCGCATCACCCCTCAACAAAGTTTAGAAAATGGTTATTTTAACACATTTCTTGAGCCAAGTCACCACGTACTGTCCTGGTAGAGCCAGAGGTTGTGTGCAGGGGACACAGAGCAGTGACATCTCATGGCCAGGCCAGGACAGAATTGAGCAAGTCCTGTTGTCTGTGCCTCAGAAAACTCATTTTGCCCCACTGTGCAATGGAGAAAAGATGGAGCTGTTCTACACAGATTTCAAATCCCAGCTGGGGCATTAACCATACCGTCCTTCACAAGCGTGAGGCACAGAATTTAACTGCGAGGATCATCTGGGTCGCATAAAGCCAAGAGGAATCCATACGGGATGAGATGGATGAGCAGCTGACGACACGGAGGACCAACAGGGAAGGGAGAAGCCACATCGGAGAGAGCAGAGAGGAGGAAGAGACTGTTTTGTGCAAGGGCTGAAAATGGGTGCGAGGAACATTATCTGCAAATTACACCTATTATTATGAGAAAAATGCTTCTACTCAAGATGAAAATGCCCTGTCTGAGGCAGCATAAAAATGAACTATTTACTAACCGTCAACCCGGGCTGGGCTCCCGCGTGACCAATGACTTTGGGGGAAGGAGGGAAGGGATCAGAGCTTTGAGTATTGCAATTATGGCAATTCAAACCTACTGGGAAATGGCTCAATTAAGGGTTTTGAAACACAGAACATAAGAGCCAGGACCAGGTGCAACTGCTCCTCTAGGAAGAAAAACAAGTGCTTTCTTGACTCAAGTCTTTGATTGCCCGAACTACAATAAAAACAGCATTTCTTTTTTTTAGGAGCTCTTGTTGACAATCCTGATTAGGTGGCACCTCCCTACTCTTTATATTTTTGCTCCAGTTCCCTTTGGAAAAGGCACATTCATCCTCCATGCTCTGGTTCAGAAAGGAGACCTGGTTGGCCCAAGATGGCCACGTCAATGTGAAAGGAGCCGGTCCCAAGGCATGCCAGCACCCCCTGCACCGCTGCTGCAGCCTGGGGACACCAGGCTGCAGGGTGGGCAGGAGGGGATGCACCCCAAAGTGCCAAGGGAATGGCTCAGCATCACCCTCCATGGCCCCAAGTCCCACCAGCAAGTTTCTGCACCAGTTCCCTGCTAGGCACCGGAGCCAGCTCCTTCCCAGGGCCACCCTGAGGTCCCCACACCGAGCCCCTGGCTCAAGGGACTACAGCACAGCCCGGTGTCCCCTCTGCCAGCAACTCAGCTTCTCCCAGAGTCTGCACACACAGCACAGCCACCTTTTCAAGGGTTCTGCTTGAAAAGAAATACTTACTGCCTTCGCTTTGGTTGTCCTTGTTCGAATTGTAGACCTGGAAAACACAAGAAGAAAGTCTTATGAAGACCCTGGCTCCGCCTGGGAAGGGACTGCTGACGCGTCCGGTGTCACCCCGACTGGTGACAGATGCCAGGAGGACCTGTCTCGACCTCCCCCAGCAAAACACCACCACAGCCTCCTATGTTCAAAATATGTTGGCTTGCCACAGCCTTGGAGTTGTATTAAAATAACAACAAGGACAGTTCTTAAAATAAGGGAATCCAAATGGGATGGACTAGGTAAACCCAGAAACTGAAGGGGCTTTTAAACCAAACAAAGGTGGGCATTCCTCTCCTCTATGCTCTTCTCAAAGACGTGCATAAAGGATATGAACTTGGAGCAAAGCAGAAAATTCCCTTTACGCCTTACGGGCATTACAGTAACATCTGGTAGACGCAGCTCAGGCAAGGGGTAGGAAGCCACCCTCACTCACAAGTACTTACAGCCCGAATGATCGAGCCAGGCAAAGAGTAAGAGAGGAAAAGAAATATCATTAATTCAGAGCGGACCTGAAACGCAGAAGGATGAGGCAAGGCACCCAGCTCTGCCCGCGACAGAGCCGCCCTCTGAGCCAGCTCCGTGGCTTCGTCCCAAGACTCTCCTGTCATCAAACAGCAGCGCTCTCCCAATCACAGTTTGGCTACTTTAGATGAAAGTAATGTTTCAGGGGATACCATAAAAAGGGGAAAAAACGTGGCAGAAGGTTTTAAACACAGTTTGAGAACGATTTATAAAGCCTAGCATAATGAAAACTGCAGCTGTAAGAAGATCAGCCTTCAGACAGGTTGTATTTCTCTAGCTTAACAGAGTAAAAGGTTTTAAAATAATCCTCCCTCAACCCAGAGCCCCAACAGAAACAGACACCGGTGCTCCATCAGCATCGCTAGCGGGAGCCGAGCATGGCAGCAGCCGCTCCAACAGGAAAAAAGGCCTGGGTGGGCTGCGAAACAAAGCAGCGGCGTGCACACCCTTCCTCTGCTGGGAACAAAGCTGGGAGCCCCCTTCCACCCGGAGAGAAGCACGGGGAACTGATTTAATCACATGCTCCCTCCAGAAATAGCAAGCGGGGAAGGAAAGTTTCCAAAGGCGATGTTGATAGCAACACGCAAGGCAGCAACGTCCAACACATCCGAAGGGAGCGGGGAGGAGGGGAGGCTCCCATCTGCCATCGGGCAGGCAAGCGCTTCTCGACCTTTCCCACCGCAGGCTCCCAGTTAATGGCATTAACACCGAGGACAGGGATTCAGAAGCTGCCCTGGGGTGTGGGGGTCTGTGTGCTTCCAGTGGGGTCCCTGCTGTTGGGATTTCTCCCGAGAGCTCCAGCAGAAGCACCGGGCTGGGAAGCTGGGAGTACAGCATCCCCAAAGGATCAGTGCCAGCGGCAGCCAGACACGCACGCCGCTGACCGCAGCAGAGCTCACCACCGTGCTCGCCCTGGGTGCCCCACCACCAGCCCAAGATCCCCACTGCCCATACCAAAAAACCCCCCCAAAAAGGCTGTGTCTCACATAGGACATCACCGTTAGGCCACTTAAACAGATGCCTTCCTTGCAGGTCATCAAAACACAGGCTATTCCTGTGCTCTCCTGCCTATCGGCCACGCTGCCAGCCTTGCAGAGAGCCACCGAAGCTGCTGCTCCATGGACACCTCTGCGGTGGCAAAGCAGACGCGAGCAGCTTTCGCCCTGCATGCTGGCTGCACGTGCCAGTCGGGGCAGTGAGCTGACCGAGGGAACCTAGTTAGGCGTTAAAGAATGAAATGAGCCTGTTGATTTGTCTCCTGCAGGTTTATCTTTAACGAAGGGAGACCTGTCCCTCGATGCCATCCACCACAAAGCACCAGCCAGAGGGTGGCAGGACAGCTTGCATCAGCTCCACCACCCAGGACACCTTCAAGGAAGGGCAAATCTTAACGGTGTAGCTCAAAACTGGGGGGTTTGGGCAGAGACTGACCCTTCAACACTAACTCCCACTCTTCCTGGAACATTTCCCAAGGAGCACCTTCCCTCTCCCCCATCCCAGGGCACCTTGCTACGCAACGCAAGACAAAGTAGAGATTTTTGTTTGCAGGAGAAAATCTATCATCCCACATCTGGAAACTGGGGGATGATTCAGCAGCAAAAAGAGCTGTAGTCAGCAAGCAAGTTTTCCTCCAGGAACAGTGTTTATACCAAGAAAGTAAGTGAAAAGAGGGAAGGAAACCAACAGTGGGCTCCTCCGCCAGTGGTGCTGCCTAGCAGCCCTGGCCACGAAGTCAGCTTTCCCTAAAGAAGTTTTTCTCTCCAACTTCAGTACCAGTGATGAGGACTCATTGAAGGGACCAGGAAGACAGCTTGAGGTAACCCTTATTTAAAGGCTTGCCCTTCCCTTGGGATCCCACACAGACTTCAAGCCCTGCACCCTACCCTGGCTCACCCCAGACATCCAGATTAACACTATATATAATAAAAGGGTGATTTGGCTCTTACAGCCTTGCTTTCCAGCTACGGATGGGTTACAACCCCAGAGGTCCACCCAGTCAGCACCCAGCTTCACTCGGGGCCGCGGTCCCAGCCTGGCCACTGCCCTTTGCTGAGCGCACACCAGCTCCCGCGCTTGGGACACCAAAATATATTCCAGTTCTTCTGGGTCAGTCCAGCTTTCAGCCACTTGCTCTGGCACCTGACGTGCTTCCTGGCACAGATTTGCTATCTGCTGTCCTTCTCCCAGTGGTGTCCTCTGCTGCCCAGGCTCAAAGGACCAAGTCATGCAGCTCAAGTTCTGGTGCACAGCATGCCAGCGACAGGGGGAAATGTGTCTGCCTGCAGATTCGCTTTTCCAGTTTGGTTACGTGAAACAATAGAGAGGTTGTTAATCACCAGAGACTGCTCTTTTAAAAAAGGGAAAAGCCTAGACAAGGCAACACAATATGCTTATGCCATTAATTGCAAAGTATGCGCACAGTGAAAAGGAAATTTCACGCAGAGGTCAACTAGGCAACCATAAAACAAGGAGATACTGTCACCCGACATCCATCTTATTAAGGACAAACCTTTTATCCATTGTCAGTGTGTTAATCCATTAACACCACTCTATACATCAAGCTTTTAACCAAGCCCCAATTCTGTAATATCATTTCCTTTTCCAAGAAAAACATTACTTTTAAAAAGAAATCCTTTTTCTATACTGCCTCAAGCCTTTTGAAGAGAGAGATTTTTTTAGGATAAGAGAAAGTTTCCAAGTTTGAAGAAAGGTCTGCTGTGTAAGAGGTCCAAGCGCGAAGCTCCTTCAGCGCCCTAAGGGCCATCATCCGCCCCGCTGTCAAAAATGTGCCCAGCCTGCGGAGACCCCTCGGGGTCTTGGCACAGCAAAGGTTGCTCCTGCCCAGCTTGGCTTTACTCTCTTTCCAAAGCAGCCTTGAAAATATACAGGGCTTAAAGCACAAGGGTGCATTTTAAGATTAAGCTTCATATGCAAGTCAGTTGATGGACCAAGCTTCTTCCCTGCGAAAGGGTGCTGAATCTTAAAGAGGTTCTTACTATTCATTATACCCAAGTCTCCATTGATTACTGACAAAAATAAATTTACAGATTGTTCAGACAGGGGCATGCTTGCCCCTGCACCATCCTCCTTGTAACTCCACCACGGTGTTACGCTGTCAACTCATCTTTACAGCACTGCAGAAAATTATAAATCAAATCACTTCTGTCATGGGGCAGAGGCAGTGGAGGCCCCACGCTCCCTGGCATGCCCCACGCACAGGGTGCTCTCTGGGCTGCCTGATTTGGGTGAGCAAGCTCTGCAACCCAGACCAGAACAGAAAAGCTCAACACACAGAAAAACTCACCACGGCTGGGGGAACCTCCAGTAACCCCATAGCTACTGGGTTGCTCCAGCCCTGGATCTGTGTTCAGACAACAAGGATTTTTGAAGCTCTCCAGGGAGAGCTGCTCCTCCAGCAGAAGCGGTGAAGCCACCCCTGTTGTCCCAGGTCCGCCTGGCAGCCCGAGCCCACCACTGCCCACGGTCCCTGGGCACAAGCACCGGTCTGCAGATGCAGCCAGCGGGGTGACCATGGCTGTTTCTCCTTCACCAGGTTTGAACCCAGCACAGGCACCGTCCCCCCGCTGCCTGCCAACCACGCAAAGCCTTTGGCCGTGAGCATCTCCCCCAGGTTCAGGGCTGCCCGCCCGTGCCTGCTGCACGTCTGCTCTGCCGAGGCAGGGGACTAAAGGGACAGCGAGCGTGCCGAGTGGGAAACACCTCACTTGGTTGTGTAAGGGACTAAAAATTTTGTATGGCAAAGGACAAAACAGTCATGGAATCGTTGCGAGATCTCCAGAGCAATGCCCTCTGCCCTACCCCAGGCTCACTGCTTGCAGCACACGGACGGGCACCGCCGGAGCACCGGCTGCACCGTGGCTCAGGACGCAGCACCGAGACCTGCGGCTGCGGCCACGGCTCTCCTGGAAGAGGTGTTGGGAGAGATGGGCACCAGGCTGGGAGTGCGCAGCCTGGAAAGACCTCTTCCGAACAACTGCCCAGGGCTGGATTTGAAGAGAGAGGCAGGTATATCTCCCCCCCCCCGCCCCCCCCCAAACCCTCTCTGCCGAGACGTGGGGCTGCGACGCTTGTGCCAGCCTGAGTGTGAAGGGACAGCACGGCGACACCTCGGGGGGTAACAACATTTAGCAGCCAGCCCGTGAGGGGTTTGCTGAGAACAGGCAGTTCTGCAGGCACGCGCATCGCCCGGGATAGAGCCAGACGATAAACCACCATAAAACACACGTATTTGTATATGCACACACACCATTTTCCTGTTGTTAACACACTCTGGAGAAAAGAGACCTAAACCCAGAAAGCTTCTCATGAAGTAAAACGCTTCTTTCGCTTTTCAGTATTAGTCACCAACAAAGGGTAGGAAGTTGGAGAGAAGAAAGCATTCGCTGAGAGGTGAAGGGCTCGTGTCCCACATACCGCCTGTGGGAACAGGCTCAGTTATAAAACTCACAAAAT